TTTTGAAGGAGAGTTTTGCTGGATATAGTATTCTTGATTGACAGCTTTTTTCTTTCAGCATGTTAAATATATCATTGCACTGATTTCTTGTCTGCAAGATTTCTGATGAGAAATCTGTGAGGATCCCTTGTACATGATAAGTTATTTTTCTATTGCTGCTTTCAAGATTCTCTCTTTGTCTTTGATTTGTAACAGTTTGATTACTGTATGTACAGATTTCTTTGATTTATCCTACTGGAATTAGTTGAGCTTCTTGGATTTATAGATTCATGTATTTCCTCAAGTTTGTGAAGTTTTTGGCCATAATTTCTTCAAATAATCTTGCTACCCCTTTCTATCTCTCTTCTCCCTCTGAGACTTCCATAATACATATGTTTGTATGCTTAATTTTCGTCTCACTGGTTCCTCGGGTGCTGTTCATTTTCTTCTTTCATCTTTCTTTCTGTTCCTCAGACTAGATAATCTCAAATAATATGTTTTCAAATTCACTGATTCTTTCTTCTGCCTGATAAAGTCTGTTGAGCCTCTCCAGTAAAATTTCCATTTTATTTTTTATTTATTGTTCTTTTCATCTCTAGAACTACTATTTTTTTTGTTGAAGCCTTTTTTTGTTCATATCATAAGTATTTTTCTGTACAGCTTAACATCTATATGTATACTTTGAGCTGTTCCAGTTGGAGACACACATTCCAAAGATAGTTTTATTGATATAACTATATGGTGAATGACCATTAAAGTTTAATAATGGCCATTCTTCTGACAACATATGAATTTAAATGATATATTTTCTCAACCAGTCTATTGGGAAGTTCACAGCATACTCTTATCACTATGGAATATACATTTTAACAATATATGACTCTAAAATATCTGAAAGGTTTCGAGGGGTTTAAAACTTAGGTGAAAATCTCTAGATTATGGTCTCAGAACATAACTGTGAGACTGGTTTTTATTTCACATTAAGTTCTGATAGAAAACTTTATTCCCTTAAGTGAACAAGCCATATTCTTTCAGCCTAAATATCAATTCGCAATTTCTGTTGTGTCTTATCTCCACGATTATTTTAATTTTCTGGTGATGTTTCAATTTTAGCTACAATATGTGCATTTAGCTTATAATGGTAAAGAATTAACTGTAATTTATTGACTACTAAGTATAATAATATAGTATATATTAATCCTAAGAAAACATTTAACTTTATACATGTTAAAAGTGGCTCAAAAATAACTTTAAAAAATTGGTTTTGAAAGGTCTCCGTTAATATATAATCACAAGAAAAGGGTTGAAATTCACCTTCATAGAAATTTCCAAAGCATAGAAATAATTATCTCTTACAGAAAAAAAAAGTATTGGGCCTATAAAAGAAAACCAACTTAAATAAAGGGGTGGTTTTTAAAGCATCAGTTCTGTGAATAATCCTTCAATTGTTTCAACATTTGAGTTTTGCAAGTAAATAGCTGCATATGAATAGTCAACAAGTCAAGTTGAAAAAACAAAACAAATCTTTATTGCCTAGATATAAAATATATGTATATGTATATATATATATATATATATATATATAAATCCCCCACAAAAGATGCTATTCTCTCATTTCCCCATCTTCTTCCTTTTCTTCAACACCTCTGATATAAAGGACATTATCACACCATATTAAAACTTCACCCAGATGTCCAGACAATGCTCCATCTATGTATTCTTCTGTATTTTCAAGCTGCATGTTCATAGAGCCATCTGCAGATACCAGGAAGCCCTTGTACTCCATCCTCCACTTAAGTTTCACCACCACTGGCTTTCCCGTTAATCCGCTGAGGAAAGGTTTGGGATTGAGGGGTAAACTCATTGTGACTATGGGCACTTCTGCAGGCTACTTGCTGCCGACCCAGCTGCCACCTGTCCCTGGCGACTGCAGCAGCTACAGCAGGTCCCGATTAGAACTACTATTTAAAAAAATAATAATTTCCATCTGTTTATCGATATCCTCTCTTGGTTGGGACATCATTCTCATGATTTCCTTTATTTCTTTAGATATGGAGTCCTTAGCTCTTTGTACATACTTAAAGTAGCCGATTTAAGGTCTTTGTATAGCAAGTCCTATATCTAGACTTCCTTGGGACAGTTTCTGTGAATTCCTTCCCCCCCCCCCTTTCTGTGTATGGGCTATACTTTCTTGTTTCTTTGCATGCCTCATTTTTTTACATTGAAAAGTAGAAATTTGGAGTATCACAATGTGGTATTTCTAGAAATCTAATTTCCTCCCTTACCTGTAGTTTGTTGTTGCTGCTGCTTGTTACAATTGTTGTTTGTTTAGTGACTTTTCAGA